CACTATTTAGTCTCAATCTCCAAGACTCATTCATTGGAATGAATGATCTAAAGTTAAGTGTTTATCTTTCCTTTTTCAGATGTTTTCTACATCTGAGGCCAAAGTAGTTATACTAAATATAATTTATAGTGACCACCAATTAGTAGAGAGGATTTTCCTACATTGAATTAGAAGTTAGACTGTATCCTCTGATACCCCTCATATTTTATTCTGTTGTTCATAGTATCATAGATTTAGAGCTTGAAGGGATCTCAAAAGTCATAGAGGCCAACCCTTTCATTTTACAATTGAGGAAACTGAGGCAAAGCAAAGTAAAATAACTTGCCCAGGATCACACGGCTAGGAAGCATCTGAGGCAAAATCTGAACTCAAGTCTTCTTGACTCCAGGCCCAGTTTTCTATCCACTAAACCACCTAGCTTCCTTTTAGCTGTTCTTTAAGAACACCTTCATTGCAGAAATGGTACTTGAGATAAGACTTTGATGGATGAATAAAGTATAGAGTTTTGGAGATGAGTAAAAATTCCAGGTTAGGTAAAAGTATGACCAAAGACATAGGTAGGAATAATAAAGAGGAAACAACACATAAAAGGGGTTTGATGTAAGAAGGAACGGCATCTACATAGAAGCAAGGTGAAAAAATCAAGAGTCCAGAGCAGAACTGGGAGATACATGAGTATTGGTTCAGGGCAAGAACTCACTAGTCAGAGGAGGGGGCTATGGGATTGAGTACATGAAAGAAAGTTGTCTGAGAAAAGGCTGGAGTAGCTGTTTGGAGCTAGATTATAGGGGACCTCCAAGGTCCATGTGATTATACATTTTACAGAAGGCAATAGGGTGCCACTGAAAGATTTTGAGAAGTTAGATTATTTTGACTGGTGCTATGAAGAATGGATTGGAGGAGGTATCGAACAAAGAAGAGGGTGTAAAGAGAAAACAAATGCATGCCAAACACAGAACCTTGAGGCACACTCAGGTTTAAGGGATGAGAAGAGGATAAGGAGACATAGGAGTGGTAAGGGGCAGAACCACCATGATGAGAGGGTATGTCATAGAAGCCAGGAGAAAGAGTGGGTTTCAAGAAGAAATGAATGCTCAAGAGCATCAGATGAAACAGAGAGGTCAAGGAGGATCTGGTCAGAAAAAGAGGAGAAAAAAAAGATTTATCGGTAAGTAAGTCAGTAATGCAAATAAGAGTAGTGGGGATGGAAGCCACCAGATTACAAGAGTTTGAATAAGTGAGTGGTAAGGAAATTGAACCAGCAAACTTTGAGAGGGTAAGATAAGTTTAGGAGCAAAGTTAGAGTTCATATCAATAGGCCTCAGTCTTTTCAGTAAGATAAAGTCATATTCAGAGAGTGTGAGGGGGGAAGGATGTTGGGAGCTTGGGAAAAAAAAAGTGAAGCTTTGGAACAGCCATTGTGGGAAATACCATAGAGTCAAAAAGCTAAATAATGAGACATGTGACAGTGAGGGCCCAGTTGTGTTTAGATTGCAGAAATTGATAGTGGACTCAGTACATTTTTGTGCATTCTAGCAGTATTCATCAACTCAGGAGTGTAGGGGGAAATGGAGGTAAATTGTAGGAGTTGCTTGGGGCTGAAGATTAGTAGGATGGGAACTGCTAAAGAGGAAGACAGTAAGGAATAGAAGGGTGTTATCGAAATTACAGGTTGGATAGGGACAGAAATGATGCCACGGCAGGGCTGACAGATTGAGTGAATGAAGAGAAATCAAGAGACTGAAGGTCTTAAGAGCAAGGCTGGAGGAGGTGACAAGTAGATAACAAGAGTTGTTTTTTTTTTAACTAAATTTTCTTTTTTACTTCTATGAGCTTGACAAATATCAACAAACAAACATTTCCTAATACAAGCAATAAATGAAGGATTTTTGATAGCACCACCATCTATTACACAGCTTGTTTGGGTTTTTTGAAATATATATTAAATTTAATATGGTGGTTCCAACTCTACTCTCCTTGTTTCTCTCCCCTTCTAGACTTCCTTCTGCTCTCTTCTATATATTTTAAGTGGTGTTTTTGTTTTAGGAAAGAATAGTCTTTTCTTATTTTTTGTAGTGAGTGCTCCCCCCTCCACATACACAAAAGCTCTTCCTTGTAACAAATTAGTCTAGTCAAGCAAAACAAGTGTACACATTTACTGTGTCTGAAAATTTATGTTTCATTCTGCACCTCTAGTACATCATCTCTCTGCCAAAAGGTGGGAAGCATGATTCATCATCTCTTCTCTGGAGTCATGATTTGTCATTGCATTGCTCATAGTTCTTAAATCTTTCATAGTTGCTTTCTTTTGTAATGCTGTGGGTCCTGTGTGCATTGTTCTCCTGGTTCTCTTAAATTCACTGAACTATAGCAGATTGTGGTCAGAGAAAGCCATTTCGTATGTCAGGCTCTTGGAGACAGGACAGTTTCAGGTGATGAGGAGTTCTAGGATATGGTCACCCTGGTGAATGGCTGAAGTAGAGTAGAGGTAGAGATGGTAAGAGCTGGAATTTAAGTACCTGCAAGAACAGAATGTTAGAATGGGTCATCAACATGAGTCCTGAGGTCTTAGGATGATGGCAAGGGAAAGGGTTGAAAGGAAGACTGAGAAAGGCAGAGTCATGGACAAATCATATAAATGGATAGGAAGGAGATGATATTGTTAAACAGCATGAATTTCAAAGGAGAAATGGAAGAGATTAAGGTTGCTTGTAGGGCCAAGGGTCTGAAAGTAGGAATATGGAGCAAGAAGTGTGGTGATGACATCTTTGTTCTATATGAGACAGGGGTAGTGGGGAAAGGAACTGCCATCTTTATAGGGGCAACTAGAAATATGACATCCTCAAGAGAAAGTTTCAGTTAATGCAAAGATGTGGTAGCAATATAAAAGAAACAGGATGAAATAAAGTTCAACAATGAAATAGGGGTTCTAGTGGACAAGAAAGGATAGAGACTGGGAGGAGCAGGACTGAGATGAGATGGAGATGGATGACACTTCTAGAAGAGGTTGTTAAGTTTAATTGAATTTGCTTCTGCAGAGTCCATGTCACAAAATGGGCTCATATTGAGAGTGTAATCCTTTAAAATACCCAGGTATTTTTCTCATGAATGCCCTTATGATTACCCTTCCTGTACCTATGTAATTAATTGTTTTAACCCTCTTCAGAGCTTTAGATTTATCTCTCTTAAATTTTATCTTATTAGATTGTGGTCCACTGTTTCAGACTGTTAGGATATTTTTTGATTTAAATTTTTTCTTTCAGCATGTTAGGCATTCTTCCTAGCTTTACATTGTCTGTACATTTGATAAGCATGCTGTCTGTACTACCATCTAAGACATCAATAAAAAAAAAATTCTCCCCTTTCTGTTCTTTTTCTAGATTAGTTTCTTCTCTGACAAAAGTCTTTCTGTGGTGACTCATTTTTTAAAACATAGTTTTTAGTATGGAACATTATAAAAGGTCTTTAGAAAATCCAGTTAGGTATCTTTGCTCTCTATCTACATGGCTGGTTGGGCTCCCTGCCATGAGTGTTTCCCCTCTCCATTCCATCCTCCACTTAGTTGTCAAAGTTATCTTGTTAAAGCTCAGATCTGACACCTCTCTCTCTGCCTCCCTCTCTCTCTCTCTCTCTCTCTCTCTCTCTCTCTCTCTCTTTCTTCCCTCTCCCTCCCCGCTTTCCTTCTCCATCTCCTCTTTCCTTTACTTCCCTTCCTCCCTCCCTCTCCCCCTCCTCTGAATGCAGATAGTGCTTGGTTTGTCTTAGGTCACTTATATTCTGTACTGTATTATCATGATTTACATGCTTTATCCCTTCCCCACTAGATTATAATCTACTTGAAAGCAAGAACAAGAACAAGTAGTTCATTTCATAGATTATAGAACCATAGCTTAGAGATGAAAGATGATTTAGAGGCCCTATTCCAACTCCTTTACATCTTTCTCTCTCCTTTAGTGCCTAGCAGAGTGACTTACATATGCTAAACACTCAACAAATATTTGATGAATGAATAATGTAGCAAATGTATAATGGGTTTAGATGCATAGGTTCCCAAAGTGGTTGATATCACCCCCTGTGGGGCACTGGGATGATCCAGGGGGGCGATAGTAGTTTGAAATTATGCAAATTTTTTAAAAATTGAAGGGTTAAAGAAAATAGAATTCCAGGGGGGCACTGAGTAATTTTTTTTTAAAGGGGGCAGTAGACCAAATAAGTTTGGGAACCTCTGTTAGAGTATATAAGTGTACTTAATATGTCCTTGCACTTATGTAGGGATAGAACATAATTTTTTTTAAAAATATGTGATTCAAAATATATATTAGTTCCTTCTGGATAACAGTTATAATCCTTGTTACCAATAGCTCTTTTAAAAGCTTATTGAAAAGTATGTTTAAACCAGGAGTTATTAACATAATGTCTGTTATTTTTTTTAATGCTTTGATAACTATCCTCCAATATAATTGATTGCCTTTGTAATCTGATGTATTTTACTTTATGCATTTAAAAACATTATTCTGAGAAAGGGTCCATAGGTTTCACCAGACTGCAAAGGGATGCATGACAGAAAACCAGGTTAAGAACCTGTGGTTTAAATGATGTGCCATGTCTAAGAACTGGTTTTCTATACATTTTCTTCCCCTTATGCTAACTTTTCTGTAAAAAATATAATGTTATGAAAAACATTCAGTGAAAATTTTCATCTGAAAGCTAAGCACTGTGTTTGGAAGTGAAAGAGAATGTGAACTATAGAAGAATATATGGCTTACCTTTGTCTGGTTTCATTTCACCAAGTATCTAAACTCCAAAGAATTTTGATTGACATTGCAAAAAGAGCAAGGGATTAGGAAAAGAAAAATGTAATCGAACAAATTTGTGTAGATAGAACACTGAGCTTCCTAAGGGGAAAAACCTGAATGTTTGATTATTATATGTAGGATTATATATAGCAGTAATATACAATATTACTTTGGCTAATAGCTCAAAAATTTTCTCTTCTACAGATTATCTTGCAAATCATGGCCGGTTGAATGAGTCTGAGGCAAGGCGGAAATTCTGGCAAATCCTGTCTGCAGTAGATTACTGTCATAGTCGGAAAATTGTACACCGTGACCTCAAGGCTGAAAATCTGCTGCTTGATAACAACATGAATATCAAAATAGCAGGTACTGGGATGTGCTCTAAACAATATAAAATTCTACCCATAGTAGTTCATATTTGCTGTGATAGATCAGCAATTGTCAAGGAAAGTAGTTCTGTTTCATGATCAAAGACAGTAAGCAAACAGATTCTAAGCATATTTTCCTTATTCATACTTGGCATTTTGTGTAATTAAAAGCAAGGAAAACATAATTTTGTTGTTAACATAAATGGTAGTGTGCTGGAGGCAAAGTTTTGGGTAATCTACTTCCCATTGTGGGTATATTCTTGAAAGAGAGACACTATTTTATCTGTATGTGTTGAATGTTGAAAGCACTCAGAAAGGAGACAGGAGCAGTCCTGAATGTCTGTATCACCAGTACTTTTAGTTGTGTGATAGCTGTAGCTTGGTTGAGTGAAGGAGAGATATGTCAGATCAGAGGTGAAGGTGGAAGAATGAAATGAGAAGAGCAGCTTTAGATACATTATACCTTGTCTCAATCTCTAATAATGTTCTACTTTTTATGATATTGATATAAAAGATTTGGACTAAATGATCTGTGTAGGTTTCTTTCTAGCAGTGATATTCTGGAATTCTAAGAATCTCTGCTTTTACAAAGTGTTGTGAAAAGAAAAGATTACAGTTGAAAAATACTTTTAAAATGACATAAGCATGAGTTATGACCACAAGCAAGTCACTTAACTTGTATGTGCATAATTATCCTGTATATAAAATGGGAATAAATGCCTGAAGTACCCATCTCACAGCACTGTTGTGGGATTCAAATAAGATAATGTATATAAAGTGCATGGTCAACCTTAGAACACTAAAGGGGTTTTAGATATTATTATGTTATTGAAGATAATTTTTTAGGTTCTTTCCATCTCTAAAATGCTTCATTTCTATCAAGTATAAATTAATTTAATGCAATGTTATCTTTATATCTCCCCCAGAATCCAGCACAATTTTTTTTTTTTGCAAATGGGGGAAGGATGGTGCTTAATTCCATGAATGAATGCATTCAGACCAATTATGTAAGCTAATAAGGCAAAGGAGGAACCAGCTAGGTTAGGGTTAATCAGGAATGACTTTCTGAAAGAGGTATGTTTTCCAGGTTGAGTTTTGAAGGACATAAGGGACATGAGATAATAAATGTAAAAACTTATAAAATTATAAGGTATTGTGATCCTACTGAGTGTCAGAGAGAAGCAGAGGAAAACATCCAGGCAAAAGAGAAAGATGAAGGGCAAGTAGATTAAATACCTATTGTAAGAACCACTAAATTCATTGGAGGAATATAAACCCCCCCCAAAAAAAAAATTGTATTAGGTCACTGTATACATTTATATTTGTCTATCAGATGTTTTTTGAATGCCTACTGTGTAAATAGGGAAGTGTTGTAGGCACTATGGGGGATACCAAGAATGAATAATCATAGAATCTCAAATTAGAAGAGAATTCTAGTCTAGCCCATACCCCAAATCATCTCTTTCTAGTTATCTTCCAGTCTTTATTTTAAAAGACCTACAGTAAAGGGGTATACCCTTCTCCCTCCACGCAAGAAAATCCATTTTGGGAGCTTTGATTGTTAGGAAATTTTTCTTTACATTATCTGCCTCCTGCTACATTCACCTATTGCTATTCATTCTGCCATGTGGGACCCAGCAGAGCAGGTCTAATCACTATTAGCCCTTCAAATTATTATTTTTTTTTTTTGGTGAGGCAATTGGGGTTAAGTGACTTGCCCAGAGTCACATAGCTAGTGTGTGTTATGTGTCTGAGGCCGCATTTGAACTCGGGTCCTTCTGACTACAGGGCTAGTGCTCTATCCACTGTACCACCTAGCTGCCCCAGCCTTTCAGATTCTTAAAGACAGATAACATAATCTTCATAAGTCTCATAGAACTTCTCCAAGTCAGATATTTCCAGTTCTAAATGATTTTCATGAAATAATCACCAGTCCCTTCACTGTATTGGTCACCTTTTTCTGAAAACACTTCAGTTTGTCAACGTCCTTCCCAAAATGTAGCTCCTAGAACTGGACACGGTATTCCAAATACAGTCTGATGTGAGCAGAATACAATGGAACTTAATGTCTTCTTCCTTCTAGACCAGGCCTGCACAATATGTGGCCCATAGACTACTTGTGGCCCACCAAAGGATTTTGGGCGGCCCATGAAAAACATTGAAGATGTAAAAGAAAGTAAAGATAGAACAAGTGCTTTGTCTGGTGCCCTGCTTAACCACCTTCTTCTAGTCACTATTGTGCCCATTATGTAACTTGGCAGATAGATTGCCACTGCATATTCTTTCCTGTTTGTCACGTGGTCCGTGGCAACCAACCATCTGTCTCTAGTCAGAGAGGAGCGAGAGTTGTATCTTTTTGCTGGGTTTTTGGTCATTACTAAATGTAAAGAGTAAGAAAACCTGAAAAATGTATTAAAATTTGTGCCACTCAGCAAAGTAATTTTTTTAACATTAATGTGATTTCATGATAAATAAAAATCTTAAGTAATAAGCATAATTAATTGATATTAATTGAAATTTCCCTTTCTTTAATGTGGTTTATTTGCAAAATAGTTTAATTCATTAATTATGCTTTTACTTGGAAAGTGAGCCACTAAAAACCTGTCTGTGGCCTGAAGAAATTCAGCCTGTTTTAATTTTGGCCCCTACCTACTGCCACATTGTGCAGGTCTGCTGTAGACACTATTGCTCTGTCAATTAGCTTTTGTGGCTGCCATATCATATTATTGATTCATATTGAGTTTTTGATCCTCAAACTGTTGAGTTACTATGCCTCCCCATTTTGGACTTAGGCAATCGATTTTTTTCTTTTTTTACCTAAGTATAAAAGTCACCATTTATTCTTAATACCATATATTTGACCCATTGTTCCAGCCCAAAAATGAGCTGAGCTGAGATCCTTGAAGATCTTGATTCTTTGTTATCCAGTGTTACATATTCCTCCAAGTTTTGTGTTACCTGCACATTTTATGATTGTGACATCTGTCCCTTTATCCTATTGTTATTTAAAATGTTGACTAGCAGAGGGTCAAAAATATATCTCTGAGGTATGCCCCTAGAGACTTACTTCTGGGTTCATCTATAATGATTTCTCTTTAAATCTTGTTATTCAACTGGTTCCAAATTGACCTAAGCATATTATCATCTAGCCCATATTTCCCCATCTTCTCCACAAGGATAGATGAGCGACTTTGACAGCTGCTTTATTTAAGTCTGGGTATACTAAATTAAAAGTAGTTTACTAATCTACCAATCTAGTAAGGCTGTACAAAAAAAAAAGAATCAATAATTTTAGTCAGGTTTGACCTGTTTCTGATAAAGCCTCCTTCATGAGGCCTTGTTCCCTACTTTCATGGAGCTTTCCATCTAATAGGAAAGATAAAACACCTACACCAATAATGTTAATACCGGGTATAATCTAAAGATAGGCAAATTACAAGAGAAGAACAAAGTGCTATTATGTTAGTTCAGCTCAACTCAATTTAACTAATTAAGGGCTTACTGTGTTTTAAGAACCTACTGTACTAGGTTTTGGGCAATGTGCCAAAGACCTTGCTCTCCAAGAGCTTATAAGTTTTTAGGGACCAAACCCAAGCAATTATGACCCAAGAAAACATTCATGGGTGCAAAGGAAAAGTCTTAAGTAAAATGAATGCTCTGAGAAATTTAAGTAGAAAAAAATCATTTCAGCTATTGAGGAAGATTTTATGGAAGAGTTAGCACTAAATTGGACTTTAAAAGAAGGCTGTAGGAGGAGTACATTCCAGGCATGAAAACAAGAGAGAAAAGGATAAAAATGGGAGATGGAGAACAGTCATAGAGTGTGTGAAGGAGAGTAATTTAAGTTCAGAGAGTTATGTTGGAGCTAGACTATAGAGAGTCCTGAATGCTAGCATCCAAAGTTTATATTTAATTCAGATGGCTGGTTGTTGCACTTTGTGCTCCAAGAGGACCAAAATGACATCACTACGTCAGGGTCAAGGTACAGCTTGTCCAACTGTGGCTGAGCAAACCAATATAAGCTTGGGGCTCTAACGCAGGCTGGACGTAAATAGTCCATATGAACATTTGGAGTAAAAAAATGTCTCTAAATTTGCATACCTCACATTTCTTTTAAGCTACTGAAATTCTGCCTTGCTCATAGAGTACAGCACCTTCTTTGATGTGGGCACACAATGCTGAGCAGTCTTGTGCCTGATCTCCCGTGTCTCACAATCAATTCCAAAGTTCTTCAGAGAGACCTTGAAAGTGTCCATGTATTGCTTCTTCTGACCGCCATATGAGTACTTGCCTTGTGTGAGTTCTCTGTAAAATTGTCTTTTAGGCAAATGTACATTTGGCATTTGAACAATGTGACCAGCCCATTAGAGTTGCACTCTCTGTAGTAGAGTTTGAATGCTTGTTATTCAACTCTTATTCAGTACCTTGGCAGTATTCTTTCTAAGGATGTACACCTAGATGATGAGGTTGATTCACACATTGCCAGAGATAGCTCAATGTGTGGGAGGCTCCAAAGGAAAATGTGGGACAGAAGAAGTGTTAGGCTGCCTACCAAACTGAAGGTTTACAGATCCATTGTTGTATGCCAAATGAAACCTGGACAGTATGCTAGTGCCATGCCAGGAAAATGAATTGCTTCCATTTGTATTGTCTTGGGAGGATTCTGAAGACCACTTGTAAGATGAGAAACTGGACCCTGAGGTCCTTTCTCAAGCTGAACTGCCAGGTATTCAAACTTCAATTCAGATTGCAATAGAAAGGCACTCTGAAAAAAGAGTGACATGATCAGAATGGTTAGGAAGATTACTTAGGCAAGGGGTTTGAAAGATAAGATTGGAGACACCTTTTTCTAAGCAAATACTTAGAAAACCTTAAGATTGGGCAGCCTGAAGGAAGATATAACAGTTAAGAAACTATTTTAATCTAATCAAGCATAGATGAAGGCCAGTACAAGGGTGGTTGGAGCAGGAATGGAAAGGAAGGAGACTCAGATTGGAA